TCAATGGGCGTAACGTACCTTCACTGGAGGCTATTCGATAGCTCCCATTTTGATTTTTTTGGACTTGTAATCTGTTTCATTAGTTGGTGTGGGGATTTATCCCTATATCCCTATCTGGTTTGTCAGGGACGTGGTGCATCAGTGAAGCTACACTATTTCCTATTTCCACAAGACTAATGTGGTGTGGAGGCGATAGATGCATCTCAATTCCGCTATGCTTGTCGCCAGGCTTAGCATCGCTCGTGTGGAGAGTGGCCTTGCTAATACTTATCTGCCTTTTTAGATAGGGGAGAACCAAAAGCACTGTTGAATGATCTCCTTACTTTGCAATCCAGGAAGCGCCAGGGTAGGATGACTCTGCTTCGGCTAGGCGAGATCAGTAGTTGCAACTCATAGCGTTGAAGCTCACGTTGCAGAAGGTGACCTGTCTTATAATTAGATATATATTTTTTTTGCAAACTTTACGGGACCAGATCCTCAAGTGGTATTCTGACTTTTGATTGATAACGATCTTGTGCGTGACGTTTGCAATTAAGGAAGGTTGAACAGAGGTCGGACAAGGACAACGCATAAGATGCTTTTCCTCAGTCTCATACATACTCAGTCATCGGTCTTCTGCGATTGTGCACGTCGCTCGAAACGGAGCAGTAACGCTTATGGTTGTTCAACTCGCCATATCTATTACCAGCTAGGGTGAGGGCGCTGTCGTTATTTTTTCCCAGCTTCTGCATGCTTTCAGTAACACTCGCAGAGGCAGATGGCATTTTAGGAAGATGGGGGGTGTTTTTAAAAAACAAATAAAAATAAAGGGTCCTCCAGCTTTGTTGCTTTAGTGCTATGGCATTTGCCGGGAGACTGATTTATGTATGAAACTGACATTATGGAGATCAGAACCGATGAGTCAAAACAACTTTAGTTTCTCATTTTGTGAGCCTCTCAACTGTTTTTACAATCGTCTTTATTTTGGCTGACAGTGAAGATTTAAGGGTCGTCAACACTAACTCGTACTTGTCTGTGATTTGTTCTTTGGAGCTTATTTACCTGCTCTTGAGTTCCAGCATACGGATTGTGTGATAAAGGGCAAAGGTTCCATCGAAAATGCGTGTCACAGGCAGGCTTTATTTACCGTGATTATTCGGTTTTTACACACGCTTTGTTCGCCTCATTGCTCACGAGTGTTAATGGCAGTCAGCAATATCGTAAAATGAGAAGATCAAATGCGATCTATAGTATTTGCCTATAAAAAAGCGCGTGTGACATTACTGGAGTAACGCGAAAGGTCGCTAAGGTCCAGTGATTTGCCTATTCATAGTCAACAGACAGGCCAACTGTTTCAGGATACAACCAATGATGACTCACAATCAACCGGAATGTATACGAAGATGCTACAGTTGTCCAAATTCCGCCAAGGGTTGATGCTTGTCCTGCAAGTGATCTGACCAGCTTCCCGTGACACAGGTCTATGACCCAGTGAGGGGGTCAATACTCCGTGTGTCTCCAGTTTATGCCGCAAGTGCTCCAAACAGGCGCTCACGCGTACAAATCGGCCAAACAAAGGAGATTTGTGTGGCGTTTCAGATAGAAGAACGCGATTCACAATGCTGGGGCAGCGTGAGAGCTTGTCTTGTGGTCATTCACAAGGTAGTGTACCGAAGTATGGAATGTGCTTCCTACGTCGCCGTCTCCAGCTTCCTGACTGGGATTGGTTTTAGGTACTCTGACGTAGAGCTAGCATTACACGCTTTTCCCGTTGATTCCAATAAAACCTTGATGAAGGTTAGAAATGTGGGTGCTACGATCGTAGTGCGACCGACAAGGCTGAAACACCAGCCGCGTAATTTGAAATCACGGCGTTAGACAGTCTGATCCGTTAATAGTAGCTCTCGAGAGCGTTCGCGAACTGGGTAGACCTGATCGTGCCCGATTGTCATGAGCTGTATCCCAGGCCGACGTGCGAGATAAGATTTTGAAGATTCCGGAAAACGTGAATAAAGTCACGAGCAACAGAAAATTTCCCGTCGGCTTGATAGTGTGTTAGCAAGTGTAGATGCAACACTAAGGGTTGTCGGCTCATGTTTGATAAAATGAGGTTAGAGGAAGATGCTTCAGTGAATCTCCAAAAGATGCTTCGCTTATGTCAAAAGGCGCTGCGCTTTGAACATGTCAATTCCCAGTGTTGATGCGTGATGACGGTACTCATGCGCATACGGATTATGACAAGGCCTGCGTACTCAGTGGGCAATATGCGGCAGCGTTTGTAAGGGCAAACCTCTTTGACAGGCGTTGAGCTGGTTTGCAGGACCCCAGAGGGTTCAGAACTATCTGAATTTATTGTAGCGGACGACGGAAGTTCGTAGGCTGTTACAAGGGCTGAACACTTCTAAGGCCTCTGGGATTGATTTAATTCACCCGAAAACTGTTGCATGAGGTTAGCTGCGGAACTAAGTGGACCGCTCGCTATTGTGTTTCAGAAATCGCTTGACAGTTGTGCATTGCCTTCCGAATGGAAGGAAGCTGTCATCTGTCCCATCTTTAAACATGGGGACAGGGGTCTGCCTGCAAATTACAGGCCAGTTAGTCTGACGAGTGTAGTAGTCAAACTCCTCGAGAAACTGGTGAGAGATTCATTGGAGAGTCATCTGAGTAGATTTAATCTACTTAGCAATGTACAACACGGATTCCGGAAGGGATTTTCGTGTCTGACGAATCTGTTGGTAGCTCGCGAAAATTGGGCGGATGCAGTGGATAACGGCCACACACTGGACGTGCTTTTCGTCGACTTTTCGAAGGCATTTGACAAGGTACCCCATTTGAGGCTCGCGCAAAAGCTGTCCTCCTACGGGGTATCTGGCCGCGCCCTTCATTGGGTGACTGCCTTCTTGGAGGGTAGAGAACAATGTGTACGGGTAGGCCGGGGTCTATCATTTAGGCAGTCTGTCCTCAGCGGCGTGCCGCAGGGCTCGGTCCTTGGACCGCTGTTGTTCTCTATCTATGTGAATGACCTACCCACGGAGCTTGAGGTACCATCGCTGCTATTTGCTGATGACCTGAAGCTGTGGAACATTGTTGATGTTCCTGGGGGTTCCGAAGCTATTCAGCGAGCATTGGATAAGCTTTGGGACTGGTCTACTTTATGGTTACTGCCCATAAATCAGGCAAAGTGCTCCGTTCTTCGAATTGGAGGAGGTTGTCCTCCTGCGAAGTACTTGGTCGGTGGGGTCGAACTCCCCCGTGTATCTAGCCAGGTTGACCTAGGCGTCGTACACTCTTCGGCTTTACACTCCGGCGACAACTGGAAGAAGGCCGCAAGCAGAGGTTTCCGCATGTTGTGGTTAATCCGACGTTCTTTCGGAGTCTTGACGGGCGGCATCTTTACGAGGCTGTTCTCGGCTTTCGTTCGGCCTCATCTGGAATACTGCGTCCAGGCTTGTCCGCCCTGCCTCGTCCGGGACAAAATGGAGCTAGAGAGGGTTTTACGAGTGGGTACTAGGTTAGTCGAGGGATTACGGGGACGGACGTACCCCGAGCGTCTACTTAGTTTGGGAATGCATTCAATGCACTACCGAAGGCTTAGAGGAGACCTAATCCTAACCTACCGTATCTTGACTGGGAAGGTTGGTCCAGATTTATCTTGGCTATTCAGTCCCGCTAGATTGTCTGTTCTACGCGGTCATTCGTTGAAGCTGGACAAACCGCGGTCCGATCGGATTAGGGCGGAAATCCGGCTGTCACGCCGAGTTATCGACCGCTGGAACATGCTTCCGGAAAGTGTTATCAGGGAATCTACGGTTAAGGGGTTTGAGCGGCAACTTGACGCTCTTGGGTGGCAACACGAAACCTTTCCATTTTCCTGAGTAACTCGCATCTTCGTACTTCGATTTTTTTCT